GAAAATAATAAAGATTAAACACATAAGATGTCTCTAATCGAACTGATGTTGATAGTACGCCTCTTTTCCACTTCCATCCCACCATGACTACTTACGTTAGAAGAATAGTTTGGAGTAGAGTTGGGATAATTTTGATTGTATCCTAGAAGGTCGTTTTGTCTGGCTCTTTGAAACTTCTTCTTTCATGGAGTCATCTATGACAGATAATTTTCAAGAATAACCATGTTTTGTTGAAGTAGTGTCGCTTCTCTATCCCTCTTCTCAACATCCCACTTTTTTCGCTTCACGTACTCGCACTTACCTCATGTATGTCATCTCATCTTCACCGTGAGCCAATTTTCTTTCCTATAGTTCCATTCTTCTTTGTTCATACTCGGCCCTCGAATTCTGCCTCTGTTTCATGTCATTTCCAAACTCCAGCAAATCAAACATTAATTGTAGATTTCCGAAGCCTCAACAACACTCTTTCCTTTCTTTCTCGCCTTTTGTTTGACATGTACCTCAGGGCGAGATAAGTTGAAGGTTGGACTTCTTGAATGCCTCGCATGTCCTCAATGCCCGACATTGATGAATCATCGGAAGCGCCACCCATGGGTGAACCATCATAACCTTTAGTCATGTATGTCGACTGCGAACCCTGACCTGTTGGAATTTTAACTACACTGGTCGTTATTCTCGTGATGGTTAATGTGATGCGACCCCGCTCACCCCGCATGACGTCACACCAGCTCAAACTAGATATCTACATGGACCATGGTTCAAGAGAGGATTTAAGAGGTTTAAAGAGAGCTTGGAAGCATTCAAGGTGGAAGAAAAGGTCATTTCAAGCAAGGCCTACGAGTTTGTTGATGTGAAATCCATTGGCAGAATATATAATTCTCGTGGTCCAAAGATGAAGGTCTGAGTACGACGATACAAGGATCAAATGGGATCATTCTTGATGGACGTGGACTTGCTAGAAGGAAAGTCCATCACATTGCTACGATTTATGGACTAGAATGAAGAGAAGATGAGCTTGGTAGAAGGAAGGAAGATCTCCCATGGTGTGAACACAAGGTGTGAAAAGGAGTACAAGTGTGAAAGGAATATCAGGTGTGAACACAAGCCATGTGAGGGAGGATTGCAAGGCTAGAATCTAGGGAGTTGTTGACCAAGTCTTTTACTTGTCTTTTAAGGATTGTGTTTTCCTTTTACTTGTCTTTTAAGGATTGTGTTTTTTCCTTTTACTTGTAGGATTTGTTTTTCATTTTAAGCTTTTGATTTGTGTTAGCTAGTCTATAAATAAGAGGCTGAGTTCCTCATTGTAACTCATTCAATTATCAATCAACTTTCAAGTTACAAGTTCATACGAACTAGTTCTTTGTGCAAGCTTCTGTTGAGAGTGCTCCAGGAGTTTCACGTGTCTCTTATCAACTAGAGAACGCGTCTAGTTGTGGCGAGCTTCTACCCAATAGCGATTGGCCTTATTCACGAGTGGGTGATTGTTTGATTGGTTTCATATACCAATTGGCCTTTCACACGAGTTGGAATCTGTTTGATCGTGTTCCATCATTATCTTTTGTTCGAGTTCTTGTTCGTTGGAGAAAAGCTTCGAAAACCCATAAAAAGTAGGAAATCTGCGTACTTTGGTCACATCAAGTGGTATCAAGAGCCCGGTTCAAACGCAGCGGAGAAGAAGGTTCTTTGGCAATCTTGTCGTGTTCTTGAAGGTTTTGACGTCATCGTAAAGGATCTTGGAGGAGTCTTTACGTTCTTGAAGGTTCTTGCGAGCTATCTTGAAGGAGTAATTAGTGCCGAAAATATGGGAGACGAGATCAAGGCATTGACTGATCAAATCCAAGCGTTACTTCAAGCACATACCACCAGCCAGAGGGAGATTCAAACGACGCTACAAGCTCAAAATGCAAGAATGGAAGCTTGGGAAACACGGATGCAAGCACCACCAAACCCTAACCCTAATGTTGCTGCTGAAAGGGCTAGGAGGGAAGAAGAAGATCGTGGAGAGAGAAGGGTGGTACAACGACCCGTGTTCGAACATGCTAGGCGACATAGGCCAATGGGTGGACTACATGCAAGACGAGGCCAGCCTCGTGATGAAGAGGTCGAATATGAGGATGACGAGGGTTACGCTCGAGATGAAAATGATGATTTGAGGAATATTAAGGTCAACATACCATCATTCAGAGGTTCCACTAATCCCGAGGCTTACCTAGATTGGGAACGAAAGATGGAATTGATCTTCGATTATAACAACTATTCGGAGAGGAAGAAAGTACAAGTGGCCGCACTCGAGTTTACGAATTATGCCATTGTGTGGTGGCATCAAGTAAGCATGAGGAGGAGGAAGAATAGGCAGCCACCTATTGAGACATGGGCAGAGATGAGAACTGTAATGCGGGATCGATTTGTGCCTAGTTCTCATCGTAGAGAGATGCATCAAGCCCTACAACTTCTGCGCCAAGGTACCAAGAGTGTAGAGGATTATTACCGCGAGATGGAGATGCTAATGATTCGAGCGGATTTGGAGGAAGATCGCGATGCTACCATTGCACGATTCTTATATGGGCTTAATCGAGAAATTAGAAATGTGGTGGAACTTCACCCCTATGCGGATCTATACGATTTGGTTGCAATAGCAGCCAAAGTGGAGAAACAACAACGTAGTAACGTTGGGAGGAGATTCACGCCACCACAAGCAGCACCAAGGCCAGGAACGCCTTCAACTTCAAACCCTAGGCCAGCCATAACGAAGCTAGAAGCACCAACACAGGCAGCCAAGGTTGAAGCACCAAGAGACAAGCCCACAAGCTCTAGTGGAGGCATTCAATGCTTCAAATGTCATGGAAGAGGGCATATGGCCAAACAATGCCCTAATCGAAGAGCTCTAGTCCTACTAGAGAATGGAGAATATGTCTCGGATTCCGAAGAAGAGGAGCATGCGAGGGAGCCATCAGAATCTGAAGTTGACGAATCAATACTCAATAGAAATGGAGCCCCCTCCTAGAAGTTTGCTTGTCACGAGAAGAATGCTAAGCGTGCAACCCAAAGAAGACCTCGAGCAAAGGGATAACCTGTTTCATACAAGATGTGTAGTGGATGGGAAGCTGCTCGCCGTGGTGATTGATGGCGGAAGTTGCACTAACGCTATTAGTACCATAGCGGTTAGCAAACTGGGATTGAGCACAATCAAGCATCCCAAACCCTACAAGCTTCAATGGCTCAACGAGGATGGTTCAATTAAAGTGGCGAGGCAAACTCTTCTGAAATTTGCCATTGGAGGATATAAGGACGAAGTTCTGTGCGACGTAGTACCTATGCAAGCTACACACGTCCTACTTGGAAGACCATGGCAATTCGATCGAAGCGCACAACATGATGGAGTCTCCAACAAATATCAATTGATGCATAAAGGAAAGAAGGTCGTGTTAAAGCCCTTGTCTCCCAAGGAAGTCTATGAAAACCAATTACAATTACAACGAAACAGGGAGCAAGAGAAGGAAGCTAGTGTCGTGGGCCAGAAGAAAGGTGAAACTAGTGTCTTGGAGCCTAAGACATTGATGCTAGCACGTAGTGAAGATGTGAAGCCAGCAATTAATGAGTCATCACCTACTCAAGTTGATTTTGTCATGGGAGAAGCCGTACAACAACATCAAATTTCGTCCCAAGGCATAATCAACGCATCAAGTACTCCCACACCACCCAATTCTGCTCATGAGCATGGTCAAAACCCTCTTCAATGTAAGTCAATTCATATGCAAGATTATGGTGAGATTATTGACCACATTGATTTTGTTATTGGGGATGAAGTGACATACATAGAGGCTCATATTAGAGAAAGACGAAGACTCCAAGAGTTTGTGGATCATCTTAGTTTTCAAGGTGCATGGTCAAGAAGGAAAATAATGAAGTCACGCGAGAGAATTTATATGTCACAACAAGATTTGAGGTCAAATCTTTTTCAAGAGGGAGGGAATGATGCGACCCCGCTCACCCCGCATGACGTCACACGAGCTCAAACTAGATATCTACATGGACCATGGTTCAAGAGAGGATTTAAGAGGTTTAAAGAGAGCTTGGAAGCATTCAAGGTGGAAGAAAAGGTCATTTCAAGCAAGGCCTACGAGTTTGTTGATGTGAAATCCATTGGCAGAATATATAATTCTCGTGGTCCAAAGATGAAGGTCCGAGTACGACGATACAAGGATCAAATGGGATCATTCTTGATGGACGTGGACTTGCTAGAAGGAAAGTCCATCACATTGCTACGATTTATGGACTAGAATGAAGAGAAGATGGGCTTGGTAGAAGGAAGGAAGATCTCCCATGGTGTGAACACAAGGTGCGAAAAGGAGTACAAGTGTGAACACAAGCCATGTGAGGGAGGATTGCAAGGCTAGAATCTAGGGAGTTGTTGACCAAGTCTTTTACTTGTCTTTTAAGGATTGTGTTTTCCTTTTACTTGTCTTTTAAGGATTGTGTTTTTTTCTTTTACTTGTAGGATTTGTTTTTCATTTTAAACTTTGGATTTGTGTTAGCTAGTCTATAAATAAGAGGCTGAGTTCCTCATTGTAACTCATACAATTATCAATCAACTTTCAAGTTACAAGTTCATACGAACTAGTTCTTTGTGCAAGCTTCTGTTGAGAGTGCTCCAGGAGTTTCACGTGTCTCTTATCAACTAGAGAACGCGTCTAGTTGTGGCGAGCTTCTACCCAATAGCGATTGGCCTTATTCACGAGTGGGTGATTGTTTGATTGGTTTCATATACCAATTGGCCTTTCACACGAGTTGGAATCTGTTTGATCGTGTTCCATCATTATCTTTTGTTCGAGTTCTTGTTCGTTGGAGAAAAGCTTCGAAAACCCATAAAAAGTAGGAAATCTGCGTACTTTGGTCACATCATAATGAAGTTTTTTATATAATCCAATAAAAATAAAAAAATTAATTGTATTCATAAAAAACTAAACAATCAGCTCAATTAATACAAATTTAGTTTACACTTCTACAACTCATACAAGTTAATATCATACGACATCCAGATTTTACCATTCACTTATATATCATATAAAAATTGAACCTTATACATACTAAAACGAGCGCATCAACTTGCATGCCAACTCGCCACGTAGGATAAAAGAGTCAGAAACCATGAAGGCTCTGGCCGCGGCTAGGTGAAGCAGCATCATCATTCATCATAAACTAGACTATTAAGCAAGCCGTTCCAATAACTACAACTCTCAACAAGTATCTCATCTCCGGCAGCCGGCCATATCATCGGCGGCGGTACATTCTGGTCACCAGAACTCTTAGACTCTGCACCCAATACCACGTCCGAAATCCCTCCACCCATTTTCCCCACCGACTCCTCCCCTGCATAGCTCGGAACCACGGGGCTCCAAACAATACCGCACGACATCATAACCTCGTCCGGATCCGAAGCAGCACCGGCGCCGGCAGCTGGCGTCGGTGAAATTTCCGGCAGCGGGAAGCTGAGGATGGAGGTAGGGGACTCGAGGGAGGAGCCCTTGTCGTTGTCGGCCGCGGCAGCGACTAGGCCTTGCCATGCTCTGAGCACGTCGAGGCATCGCGGTCTGGATCTGGTTGGGGACATTGATCGAACAGGTGGTGGGCGTGGGCGATCACGTTTGTTGTTGGAGGGATTGGATTCACGGACCAGCCTGGCCTCGGCTTCGAGCCGGGCGGTCTCCCACTGAGCCATGTGGCTCAGTGTGGCTGCTTCCTTGGAGGTCTTGTAGTGTCCATTGCCATCTACGGTAATGGAGGTCTTGGCCTTGTGGGTCGTCGGGTCGATGCCCATCCTCTCCAGCCTCTTCCTCAGGTGGGTGTTCCAGTGATTCTTTATCTCGTTGTCTGTTCTCTTCTCCAAATGAGTTGCTATCGCTGCCCACCTGTTTCCCAGGAGGGCGTGGAGCTGGATGATTGTTTGCTCTTCTTGGGGACTGAAGTTTCCTCTTTTGATGTCTGGCCTGAGGTAGTTGGTCCACCTCAGCCTGCAACTCTTGCCACATCTTTGGAGTCCTACACACATGATGCGAAAGACAAAAAAACAATTGGTATGATGTTAGACTAGGTTTCATTGATCATATATGTTGGTTTCATTTAATGATGGTGATGATGGTGGTGGTGGTAACCAGCTTTGAGTGGTAGGGCTCGCCAGCTTCCATGGCCGTGCTGCTCGATGTGAGCCAAGAGCTTCTGGTCCTCTTCAGGAGTCCACGGCCCTTTCTTCAGTCCAACTTTCTCACAACATGGAGACCTAACCATTTTTTTTCTCCTTCTTGTCCTTTTGTTGTCTGTTTGATGAAAGCAGGCACTTGAGGACGTTGAGATTCAGAGTGGCAGGGGAAACAGAGAAATGGCAGTAATATATAGAGGAGAAGGGAGGGCTGTGTGGTGGATGATTGGAAATGATACAGAAAGCCTCTGAGGCGTATGAACAGTAAGAAGAGCGGTAAAGATTCAATGCGTGGTAATAAAACAGAAAGTAATGTCTCTGGCAAGTGGGCAGTTGGATAGTAAAAACCTAGCTAGCGATTCCACCATAATTTTAGCAGCAGAAAAGAAGAAGGTGATGAATTGTTGTCTCTACTGTGTATATCACACCTTCTGTCCTGCTCTCCCTTTTTTTTTCTTCCTATACCACCTCTTGAATGAGATGCAAAGCGCCCATTTTTCTAGTTGAATTTGCTGCACTTTAAAACAACAGTACTTGCCTCCTTAACAAACGTATTTATGGTGTGTAGGGAGGACAAGCTATAAGTAGTTTGATTGAAAACTTGAACCCTGCATTCAAATTTCTAACTTGCAGGTGCAGGTGGGCAGGAGGGAAGCCTAGAAATAGCAATGTTGCTGGTGGGGGATTTCAAAATGCGCGTCTAACGGTATAAATTGACAACCAACATCACAGAAGAGCTTTGCCATCTCTGATTGGGAGTGTTCAGTTTCTGCAAAAGGGTTTGCAAGAAACTGGGGTGCACCTTCTTTCTGGTGTAAAGGGTCAGTACTGGTTCAAGTGTAGTTACAGGGGAATTAATCAAGTCTGTAACACTTGAAACTGTTTCAGACCACGCGTGTTTCACGCAACAACCTTAACGAACAACTGCTGGCTATGGGGTTATTGGCGACAGAGTTAAAATGGCGGGTAAAGGCAATCAATCATCATTCATGACATTCATTTCCTTCATCCGCCTGCCTGCCTGAGTTTCTTCTCGTCCTCAATCACAACGCTGAAGAACTACTGCATGTACCCTCCCTTCACATTTACATTTGTTCCCCCACGACAGATCCTATTTATTATATGCGCCAGACTGGATTCATAAAGAGGGTTTCCTCCTGTGCTGACCCTGCAACTATTTTCTCAACAGTAGCTCATGAATTCATCCATCAACGCAGTTGAGTTTCGATACAGAACCAAAGGCGTTTTAACAAAGGCTTCAACCCTCGAATTTAAACGGGTTTCACCAGCTTCTGTAAAGGCTCGTCCTACCAGCCTCATTCATCATCGTTCTTGGTTTCACCACATTCACGTCAGCTCGACAACTAAGGAAAGTAGCACAGAGCCCTTTGATTGTTTACGATTTGTGAGCACGTCCTTCCAGAGGCCATATTAACAGAGCAGCAAGATAAAGGTTTTTCATCGTCCCCAACCCTTCTTTTGCAAGGGAGAAGATACGAATTCACAAATTGAAGAAGAATGGCTCTCCGTTTATTAACGAATGGGCTGAAGGTGATGAAGCCCGCATGAATACAATGGGCTAACAATACCCTACGTGACAATATAAAAGTCCATTCATCGGTTTAGTTTATCACTTTGTACTTTTTTTGTCTTGTACATGTAACATCTTGGATCTTTTTTCATTTTGAGTCTAGATTCTCATAAATTTTGTCTTGATGTGTATATCAACGTGACTCCTCATAGGGTCACTCATAGTTGTATTTCACAGTGAACACGTTTAACTTCAAAGTCCTTACAAGAACTCTTCTATTTCAGTACATCGAAATGCGTCTTGTCAGTACTTATGGTTGTTTTCTTACTTAAGAAGCATGGATCTCTCTCGTGCTTTGTCGATGTGAGATTCGCCTAAGGTGTTACATACACACCCCTTTAGGACGGAACGTTTTTGTTGAGGTTTGCCCCATCATCGTTCAAGAGGGACACATAGAGGCTTTGTTACCACTTGTAACATCCCGAACCTTTAACCGGTAAGATATTATCCGCTTTGGATCTAGACCCTCACAGATTTTGCCATGGGCTTAGAGGTGGGCATTCGGTCTGTTCGGTTTGAACCGAACCGAAATAATACATACCGGGTCCCCGAATTCCATCAAATCTAAAACCGAATTCGAACTGAATTATTATTCGGTTCGGTCGGTCCTAACCGAATTATAATTTGGTTCGGTTTTTCATACAAAACCGAACTTGTGAGGTTAGCTTGTATCTTCTCTCTTTTAAATTATTTTTCACCCCTAATTTAAACAATAAATATGCAATTATATGCATGATCAATGATACAATAAAACATTTCAACACATAAGTCATAAAACACTAACATGATTTAAATATTTAAGTCTCATAATAAGTAAAAACATAAAAAACCACCATTTGAAGCTTGCAATTATGGTTATTCGGTTTGAAATTCGAAAATTCGGTACGGTCGAAAGGACCCTGGTTTCCGAAATATGCCATTTTCCCTCCCAAATTATGAATCGAATAATATTAATTTGGTTTCGGTTCGGTTTATATTCCGTTCGGTTTTACCGAAGCGTATGCCCACCCCTACTTGGGCTGCATATCAAGGTGAATTCACATAAGGTCATCCATCCTTGCAGTGCTCCACGATGAGCACGTTTAACTTCAGAGTTCTTACAATTTTTTTTTACAAAAGATAATCATATATTGATTCAAAGAATAGATAGTTACATCCTGGAGTTCAGCCAGGCATGGAAATCTAAGAAACGACTCATAATCGGGTACAAAGAAATGGCCTTTCTAGCCACCATATGGGCTACCCTATTACTACGCTGACCTACAAATCGAACACTAAACCCAGAATGGATGGCAAAGTAATGCACAATTTTTTCAAGAATAGCCCCCATCCGCTTACCACTGGTATCAGCTCGATTGATCTTATCAATGATCACTTTGGCATCCCCTTCTAACCTAATTTCCGTAAAACCATGATCCAGACACCAGAGAATAGCTTCTCGGAGCACGAGCAATTCTACCACCATAGGGTCATCAATCAACGGAAATTGAATCCCGTTGGCCATAAAGATATCCCTAGTTGAGTTCATCATAACCATTCCACCAGCCGAATGAGACCCACTCTTAATAGCCTCATCCCACATACAAACAAGTGAAGCAACAATACTAGCCCCCATAAAACATAATTGTTGCATGGAGGGAGAGAAGCATGAGATGCCCAATCCACTGGCAAATTTACTCACTCCTCATATTGTTGATTCAAAAGGCACATCAATGCAGGGATCCCAAACCGTTTACCCTCAAAGACAACTCAGTTACGAGATCACCAGATCCTCCAGAGGATGGCAACCACTGCCATGAACATTGACAGTTGATGTATTAACGACATCAACCTCTTAAGAAATAGCGGGAAGGTATGACGAGAAAACCCCTCTCCCAGATACTCCAGACCTGAATAGTCCCAAAGGGCACGCGCCACCGGGAAATCAAGAAACAAATGCTCCATTGTTTTAGAATCCGCCCAACAAACCGGACATATGTGAAGCACAGGGACATCCTTTTCAATTAGGGCTTCAGTAGTTGGCAAGATTCGATTGAGGATTTGCCAGACAAATACTTTCAATTTGGAAGGAATATTAGCCTCCCACAAACAAATCCAGCAGATCTTATCCATCCAACTAGCCGTGGACCTCCAGCGACCCCTCCGCTTGTCAAGTGAGACAGCTAAATGGTAGGCCGACTTAACAGGAAAAAAACCCTTCAGGTGTATCACGCCAGATTAGTCTATCCTCCAGATTTTGATGCGGAAGAGGAATAACTTTGATGCCAAGGCAAGTAGACGGGTCAAACCACTGGCTAAGTTTGAGATCACACCAACACCCTTCCCCCTGAAAAATAATCTCAACAACTGGCATATCACCCCCATTCGGTAATACAGGGGATTATACCAAGGGGGATCAAGTTGTAACCGAGGAATCTAGTTGGAATGAAGCAGAGGAGCATTCCGACCATTACCAATATGCCATCTTAACCCCATCTCCAATAGTTGTCGACCAAAAAGGATACTTTTCCATCCCCACAAAGGGCGAGAGCGAGGCGTAGCCTTGAGGAATGTCCCATTCGGAAAAAACTTTCCTTTATAAACCTGGGCTAAAAGAGACTGGGGTTCATTAAGGACACGCCATCCAATTTTGGCTAAAAGAGCCTGATTAAAATGTTCAAATCGGCGAAAACCCATCCCCATCATGTTTACTCCTGCACATATCGCGCCAGGAAATCCACCGAATCCTCGAATGACCCTCATCAGCACCCCACCAGAACCGGGCCACATGTTTGTCCAGTAGACGACACATCGAGAGGGGTAACTTGAAACAGGACATCACATGGAATGGCAACTCCAAGGCAATTGATTTAATCAAAGTTTCTTTTGCCGCCCAAGATAACGTCCTCTGCTTCCATCCCTGCAGTCGCTCCAATAATTTCTCCTCCAAATACCGGAAAGTAGCCATTTTAGACCGGGCAATCAGCGTAGGTAAACTCAGATACTTATCATGGACACCTACCGCCCCGACACCCAGAATTGCAACCAAGAATTCTTGATCCAGCAGAGCAATATTTTTACTAAAGAAAACTACCGATTTAGCCAAGTTCACTCGCTGACCACTAAGTTCCCCATAGTCATTCAAGACCTCGATCAAATTCTCACACTCCAGGAGAGAGCCTCGCAGGAATAAATCAGAATCATCTGCAAAAATCAAATGCGAGATCCGGGGGGAACGAGGAGCCACTTTAACTCCTTCAAGCTTATTTTTTCTTGAAATAGCCTTACGAAGCAGCGCCACAAACCCCTCTGTGCAGATCACAAACAAAAGAGAGGAGAGACGATCCCCCTGTCGGAGTCCCCGAGAGGGTGTGAAGTGCCCTGAGGGAGAGCCATTCATTACAACAAAAAACAACGACGACCCGAGGCATTCCTGTATCCATCCTTGCTAGGTGGAGTTAAAACCCATCTTGTCCAAAACTGCAAGAAGAAACGACTATTCAACTCTATTATAAGTCTTTTCCATGT